GGTAAAATAAACTTACCACTAGATATGTGTACCAGAACTTGTCGGAGATGATAGAAGCCAATTGCACGAAACATGTAATGTAGATTATATCATGTAAATATCTGCAAGAAAGAACCATGGCAGGGTTATATCTTTAAACAAAATGGAGCACGAGATTATGAAGTTACCACAAAACAGGTGCTATGGGTAGGAATAAGATCAGTAGTGCATATTCACACACAAAATTTACAGCTTGAAGTCAAGTTCAAATTTCAGAATCCAACAAGTCTCTCTATATAGTCTGTATACATTAAAAGTAACTATCGCACTAATGGTTTTAATTAAACTCCAGTCTGTTCCCTCCCCACAAACCCGAAAGTAATATTAATAAAAAGAACTTTTTATACAAGAAAATGGATATGTACTGGGCCTTGGGATAGAAAAAGAACTCGTAATTTGATGTCTCCTTTAAAAGAGCTAACACATCCAGCCAGCGCCCTCCTAAATATTGCCCAACTAATTCCAATCCTATACTTTTTAGTAAGACAAGGCATGAAAACAAATGACGTGTTTTTCCCATGCCTTCATTCCAAAACAAGTATGAAAAATGAAACCCCGTGCAAAGGTAAGAAGTTATTTTTCAAGTAGGACAAATACCTCTGACTTCTATTATTCTAATGGCCACCCACAACAACGGATAATAAGACAAGACGAGAAAGAAATGCAGTTGTGATAGCTTTTCTTGCTGATGTATAAACTTCTAATATCATTTCATCCGAGGAGTCCAAATGTTTAAACTAGTTGAAACAACTTCAAAACACAGATGGATATCCAGTTGATTAAATAATGGGAAAATCTTAATGAAAGGACAGCAAGTCCACATAACTAATACTCCCTCCATCCCAATTTACGTGTCTTAGTTTGACTTGGCATTGAGTTTAAGAAACAAAGAAAATTTTTTGAGTATTGGAATTGAAAAACTTACTAAACATAAAAAGAAACACTCTTTTTTGGACAAATCGAAAAGGAAAGTGACACTTAAATTGGGACGGAAGGAGTACTATTTAGCTTACTCAATTAGCAAGAGAGACTTCTTTATTCATCTACTCATCATTTTTATGTATGTTTTTTCATTTCATCATCGGTTCAAATGAGTGTGACACGGGGTAGATCATTCAAGATACTCAAAGCCTACTAAAAATTGAATGCCCCCATTTTAACCAACTAAAAATCAACCATACCCAAATCAGTACTTATCTCATACTTAAATCCAAGTAACATAGCTAACAAATTCTGTAAAACAAGACCGATAATTAAACAACTAAAAGTCCAAACAGCTCAATAAAGTGGAAAAGAAATTCAGAACCCACGAATCATCATGGATGTGATATAGGGCAGATCCTTCAAAATACACTCGAAACCTACTAAAGATTGAATGCCCCCATTCTAACGAACTAAAAATCGATCATACCAAGTCAGTACTAATCTCAGATTACTTATCTCATACTCAAATTCAAGCAACATAGTTCATAAACTCTATAAAACCAACAACAACAACATATCCGGTGTAATCAAAGGCTGATAATTTATCGAGTAAACGTCAAAAACAGCTTAAAAAGGACAAAAATCAGAACCTAGAATATGAAATTACGAAATGAAACTACACATTACCCACAAATTCCACCAGTACTCATATCATATCCACCATCAAACATCTCCCCATCATCACCATAACTCGGCTTCGCCATTGAAGCTAATTGTTTGTACGGTAAAACATATGCCAATGAAGTCAACAATAATCCAACAATATGCTTCCATGTGAAACTTGAATAGAAAATTCCACCTCTCACTAATAAATAAATCACCTACTCAAACCCAACAAAAAAAAAAGTTAAATCAAACAAAAAAAATCCAATTTTTGAAAAGAAAAAATGAGAAATTTTACGTTGCAGGCAATGATGACTTGAAATAGTTTCTTCATATGACGAGTATTTTCTTCCTTGCGCTTTTTTGCTCCTTGATTCGCCATTTCTGTTTTCTTCCTTAAGCCCTAATTTTGTAAAATTGAATTTTATGCCATTGAAGAAGAAGAAGAGAGCTGATCGGATCGGGTTCTGTTTTTGGGCTTTTTTATTCGGGTTATAAATGATGAATTTTAAGCCCAATCCATATAGCCCAAATAGGCCTTGACTTGTTACATGAGTATAAATTTCATATTTTCGTACATGAAAAGAAATATAAATATCTTCATATACCAAGATGATCTCTCCAAAAAAATGCGAACTTATAGCAAAATGTCTCTTTTATTACGAAGACCGCCCGATCGTGAGCCTTTTTCTCGATCTATTCTAATTTCACTATTCTATTAGTCAAGATTTTTGAAGTACATATCATGCTGCCTCCTCAGCTCTCGTTATGCTTATTTTCAACTTCCCAAAGCATTTCATTTTGGTACTTACACCCTTCCTCGTCTTTAGATTGCTTGGAAATGACGTGTGGTGTTTCTAAAAGTAGTCGATCTTGAATTTTTGTATTGGTATATTAAAAAAAAAATTAACATGACTTTTAACTTGCTAAAAGTCTTGTGAAATTTGGTTTTATAATTGATTCTCGGTTTTTGACATGTTCAAATATACATTGCATAAGATTAATTGAAGGAAGAGGTATTGTTTGCTATAATTTCGTTTCATTATTGAAACTTACAATCTAAAATTTTTGAGTAAGAATATAAAGATTATATACTGTTATGAAATATTTTATTTTTTAAAAATTGATCATATATATATATATATAAATTATATATTTTTTAATGTAATAAACAATTTTATATTAAGTGCATCGTAATCATTTTTTTTTTGAAAATGCAAGTCATTCATTACTCTGGACCATGTGGAATCATAAATGTAGTCCAAATTGAATCTTATTTTAAATTAGGCAAATAGAGGCAAAATATCACTATTTTGAGTATACATATTTTTAATTTTTTTAATCGAAACTCTTTTAATATATATATATATACACTCGATAATATTAAAGAGTTATATATAATTTGCCCCTAATAAGTCAATTTCAAGATCAGTAAAAAAGGGAATAATATGTTGAACATGGAATTTTATGAGAAAAAAATAAATAGGCACGTGATAAGAGGATCTACAATATAATAATTATTTTTGTGACTAAAAAAATATTAAAATTAGGTACTAAAGGTTTTTTCTAAAAATAAAATTATGTTGTGTAGTGGGGCCCAAAAATATTCATTTTCCACTTTAAAAGATGCTAAAGGACAATGTGTTTTAATAACATCATTTAATTTGTAATTGAAATTTTAACTTTTTTGTAATATGTATCCATTTTAAATATATAAAACTGTATGATACTTTAGAGGTAAAAAATTTAATTTAATAGACCTTCTAACTTGAGATAAAAATAATTTCAAAAAAGAGTAATGAAAAAAAAAATTATGGACATCAATATATATAATAAATAATAATAAAATAATATTATATTAACATAATACAATGTCAAACAAACAACATATAATAAAAAATCGAATAAGAAGAAAGGAGAGTAATACTATAATGGACATAAACTCCTATTTTCACATTAATCTTGTCTAAGATTTATCTTCTCGATAAACTGTAATCATGTCATATCCAGTCTAATCACCTCTTTTCAATATTTCTTCGATCTATCTCTACCTTTCATGAATCCACGGCTAACTTCTCGAACCCTCGTAATGGAGCATCCATGTCTCCTATAACACGACTAAATCATCTTGAGCTCGATTTCTGCATCTTGTCTTTTATTGAAATCACTTTCACTTTATCTCGAACATCCTCATTTTTAATCCTATGTCTATTAGTATACATACACATCCATGATTCATCGTAGTATTCTTATCTCCGCTACTTCCATTTTGTGAACGTGAGAGTTCTTGACAAATAAGATCGAGTACAATTAAAAATAATTAAACTTCAACCAATTATATAAAATTATTACAAAGTAAATAAACACAAATTAAATGACAATTAATAATTGATTAATTATACCCTAAAATAAAAAAAGAAGAAAAAGACTCATATGGTGATGTTTAAGTGACTCATCTTCTATAATGCACCATGCCAAAATACGTGTCAGTAAAGTCTCTAAAACTACCAAAAATACCCTTAAGTAATCCCAATATTTACACTTATTCCTATTCATTATCCAAGTCAACCAAGGACAACATTGTCATTTTACGAAATCCACCATTGATGAAACAAAAGTCCAAAACCTGTAAAGATTAGAAAAACTATGAAAAGCTCATAAAATATTGGAGTTCTTTTGATTCTTTACCCCCATACCCCCCCTAATGCACCTCACCTACCCCCACATGCTGTAAAAAGCCCATACCCTGATACCCTTTTGAAGGTTTGTTCTTTTTCTTTCCTCTTTCTTGTTTATTTTTTTGGTTTTTGTAGTTGATTTTGTTGTTTTTCCCTAGGAAATTCCAGAAAAATAGGGTCTTGAAAAACTTATTATAAAAAAGAACTTAGATTAGACACCAAAATAGGAATTATAACTTTTTTCTTAAATCTCATTCTATCTGTTAAAATTCCATAAATATTGGTTCTTGAAAAACTCTCTGTTTTCCCACTTTCTTTTGGACTTTGTGTGAAAAAAGATAAAAACTTTGACACCCAGGAAAGAAAGATAAGTTCTTTATCTTGTTTATCCCAGTTTATCTGTGAAAATTCAGACAGATAGAGAGAGAGTGTGTGTGAGAGAGAGAGGAGATTCAGAAATCAGCATGCAGTTGTGTGTGGTTGTGGTGTGATTCTTTATTGTTTCAAGAACAGATTTTTATCTTACCTTTTTGTTGAAGATCAGCTCTTTTGGAATTGTGGGTTTTGGCTCTATTAGCATATTAAGGTGATTCCATTGAAATTGTTTTTTTTTTTGGAGATGTGATGTGAGGTGATTTTTGTTAATGTTAGTTGCATTGAAGTGGAGGGTCTTTCGAAAGTAGGGTAAGGTTGCAGACCTCACATGTGAGATTAGACGGGGATGTTGTTGTTGTTAGTTGTTTCAAGAATAGATTTTTAGTTCAATTTTTCTTGTAAATCAGCTCTATTGCAATTATGTGTTTAGGCTCAATTAGTATATAACTCTATTAAGGTGATTCCATTGTAAATACTTTGTGGAGATATGATGTGATTTTTGTTAATGTTACTTGTTTCAAGAATGGATTTTTATTTTACTTTTCTTGAGATTAGTTCTCTGGTAATTCTGGGTTTTGGCTCAATTAGTCTATAAGGCGATTCCTTAAAATCTTTTCTTGAATTTAATTTGTTCATTACCAGTTAGCTGTTTCATGCAGAGTTATAGGTTTTAATCTTGGTTAGATCTCTATAGATTTTATTGGGAATGTTAGATGTTTTGGTCAACTTAACAGTTTGGCATTACTAAAGTCATAATTACTCTACTTTGTGTAGCTATCATAGCTATTATTGGATGGTCATTTACTTTTCCAACTGTGTTTTAGATTTAAATTAAGGTTAGAAAAGAATTGTTTTTTCTCCAACTTGAAAGTGGGATACAAAGATTGTTTTTTTTATCAATGGCTCAAACTTTTATGCTGGGAGAATTGTTTGTCTTGTCTTGTGGAAATTGGTATATATTCCAACTAATTGTTTATTGCCACTTGCTTGTTACAGAATCTGGTGTTTATTCAAGGAACTTGTCTGAGACTACTCTTAAAGAAATTAGGGAGGACTAAATTTGTAGTCTTTCCTGGAAATTTGGAATTCAACATGAGGAAAGTTCTGCAGTCTGCGAGGCAAATCAAATCCGCTCTGCGGTATAGGAAGGATAATGTGATTAATAGTCTTGTAAAAAGACAATATTTTTCGACTAATATAAGTCATGGCTGTATATGCAAACTTTCTTATAATGGTGGTATTACTAGACATAGCCAACCATATTACATGTTGTCCAGAGCCATGTTTGCCGGTGTAGCTACAGTTAGTAATGGAGGTATATGGTCTTCTGATGAGTTCTTTGTTCTTGTATGTACTTTTTGTATATATATCGATCATAAGTTCTTACTGTTTTGGTTGTTCTTCTGATTGATTCAATTGTAGTGGAGACCAGAGGCGGGCCTCTAGTGGAATATGAACGAAGAATTGCTGAGGGTGACCTCTTGGATGGAGATGCATGTCAGGTAAGCAACAGTTACTCCCGTGTTAATCAGCTTAGGGTTGGCATTTGTATGCTTCGTTATGGCTAAATAGATTCAGAAAACAATGAGGATGTTCTGATTGTGCCTTCTGTGCACTCATGAAATGTTGAATTCTTTCAACTCTGTTTTCTGCAACTAGATAATACTACATTTATCAATCTATCCATGGGGGTGGGGGCGGGGTTGATAATGCCTTTTTCTCTATACTTCTTATGTAGAATTTCTTTGGAAGAACGACTCAAGTATACACTAGCTTGGAAAAGAACGACGGGTGTAGGCTTAATAGTGAATGTAAACTGCCTGTGGTTGAAGTTTAAATTGCCTACCTTTAGAGCAACATGCTCTACGACTTCTGAACTCATTAAAAATTGCCGTCGTGCTAGTTTTACATCATGTGGAATGGCTCTCTCATATTGAGAAATTCCGTCTAGTGACATTTATTACAGAGTCCACTGGAGGTATTGAAGTCATAAAATGTGGTAATCTTTAAAGAATTCTCTATATCCGAAAGCCAGTTATTTATGTTTGTAAATCTGGATGCCCAGAAATCTCATAATTGGTGGGTCGTGAAACTCTGCAAAACTCAGTTTGAGTTACATCAGAAATGAATTTTTATCTCTTCGTTGCTTGTTGAGAATAGATTCTGATGATGATTTTGTAGGTAGGCACATTGCAAGAGCTCCAAAGACTTTATGATCAGCTCATTGAAAAAGCTGAAGTCTGCCGGTTAGACAAATATGCCTCTTCTGATAAAGCCAGCAGGTAAACACCAACTGAGTTTCCACCATTTCAATTGTATATTTGTATCTTGAAATTGACAACATGTACATTTGACTTGTAGAGTGAACATTTATATTTCATTGTATTGATGCATCACATCACTCTGGTAAATTTGCAGGAGTAGATGGTTATGGTCCCGTCTCTTACCACAGTCGTCATATGCTCCTGTCAAAGGATTATATCTTTACGGGGGAGTTGGGACAGGCAAAACTATGTTAATGGACCTGTTTTTCGACCAGTTGTAAGTTCCAACCTTACCTTACAAAATGATTCATGTTGCCAAAAATCAGATGTTTGTAAAAGACAATTTCTTTTATCTCAATCTATGGACATTTTATGTCAGGCCTGGCAATTGGAGGAAAAAGAGAATCCATTTTCACGACTTCATGCTGAATGTTCACAGCCGATTACAGGTATGAACCTTATTCAATCTGCTTATCAATTATTTTGACTGCAGCATTATTTATTGTAATATTTCACTAAGATTATTGCTAATTTAACAAGCTGTTTAGGTCTATCAAATCATTCTGTCAATGAGGTTAAGAGAATAGCATAAGACTAATCTTTACATGCTTCTATTTTCATTCGGTTTAACTTTTTAGCATTGTATTTAGAATCTGGCCATTTATTAAAGCTTTTAAATGGTTATGCTTGATTCCTGAAAGCTATAAGCCACATTCAATCTTATCTTTTCTGATCTCAAAGTTGTGCCGTCTATCTATATTGCAGAAGCACAAGGGTGTGCCAGATCCTCTAGAAGTTGTGGCAGGAGAGATATCGGACGAGGCCATTTTGTTGTGTCTTGATGAATTTATGGTATGTCAATATAGTATGGAACTCGGGACGTTTCTTTTTTCTATTCACTATGTTTATAAGCTTCTATGATAGGATCTCAGTTTTGTGAATTTTTTCTCTTGTTAATATAGGTGACTGATGTGGCTGATGCACTGATACTGAATCGCTTATTTAAGCAGTTATTTATGAACGGCGCAGTGAGTAATTCAATGTCTCATACACCGTCTGTTTTATTGCTATAATTCGTATTTCTGGTAATCCTTGTAATCATAAGGTTAATCAAGGTTATCTCTGTTGATACTTCACGGTTGCAAATGCAGATTCTTGTTGCTACGTCAAACCGTGCTCCCGATAACCTTTATGAACGTGGACTACAGAGGGATCTTTTCCTTCCTTTTATAGCTACTTTAAAGGTATTTGAAAAGTGACAACCTTATTATGAAAATTTCTGCATTTCTTATTACTGCTTTCATGTACTTAGCACTTTAGTCATGCTTTCTATTTATGTGTTTCTACCTATTTAGTATCTCCTGTTTGTTTGTGTCTGCTATCTTCTTAAAGAGCCACTAACCTAGACAATCACAAAAGAAAAAGGGAAATCTCTTCAAAAACCTGCCTCTGCAAGTAATCGAAACGGAAACTACCAGCTATCATCCTTATTTATTTTAACATTCTCAACTTCGATTTCAACTCATGTTGATTGGCTTAATGACTTGGGAGAGTATCTCGATGCAGGAAAGATGTGTGGTACGTGAAATTGGCTCAGCAGTGGACTACAGGAAGTTGACTTCGGTATAGTATTTAACTTTGTACAAGTTCATTTGGAAGTTATTTTTTTGTCAATCTATGATCTCAATTAGTTTTATTTATTGTAGGCCGAACAAGGGTTCTACTTTATCGGAAAAGATATATCAAGCGTCATTAAAAAGCAATTCCAGATGCTAGTAGGGGATGCTCAACCAGTTCCGCAAGAGGTGGAAGTTGTCATGGGAAGGAAATTGCAGGTTTGTTGACTACAGTTAGCTATGCATTTGATTTGATGATGTGAAGGTCTTACAACTAATTTGAATCAAAATTGTGTCTTCTTTTTAACTTTAGGTTCCACTGGGTGCTAATGGATGTGCATTATTTTCATTTGAGGAACTCTGCGACAGGCCTCTTGGTGCAGCAGACTATTTTGGACTATTTAGTAAGTGATGTGTGGCTTCTTTCTGGTTTTTAGTGTTTAAGTAACTTCAATATAGGGTCAGTAGGTGAGTTTTTTAACGTTGAAGTGGCAAACAAGCATTGCCTAGCTATTTTTCTATCTTCAACGTTCTCCGTGCTGATTCTTTTTTTGCTGTGCATTTACGCACTTCTCTTTGTGGGATTATACTGGATATGTCGTTGTACATTTACTCTCTCTTTGCATGTTTGGTTACTAACATGATTTTTCAGTTTCTGATGGTGCAATTCAGCAGTATATTCGTTACTTGAGGTTTTTGACTGTATTTATTTGTCGTGTAACCAGAAAACTTCCATACGCTGGCTCTGGATGGCGTACCGATTTTTGGGCTTCATAATAAAACTGCAGCATACCGTTTTGTGACGTTGGTTGATGTTAGTTCTCTTCTTCTTGGCTTATCTTGATCACTTGTTTTATTCCGAACTCATACATTGAAGAAGCTCCATGTCAAGAAGCAAACTGAATTTCCTCCTTGATTTTATCATTAGGTAATGTATGAAAATAGAGCTAGACTTTTATGCACGGCTGAGGGATCTCCCGTCGAACTTTTTGAAAAGATCGTGACAATATCCGATGCCCAACAAATAGCACCTAGAACATCTTCAAGGTCAAGGAAGAACGATGATTTTGACCTTTGTGTGGACAACGAGTTGGGTTTTGCAAAAGATCGCACCATTAGTAGGTAAATTGCTATCTTCTTGAATTGAATTACCACTTCATTTAAAAGAACAAGCTGTTAGAAAAAAGATGCGCTTTTGTTTGTTAAGTTATTTTTTCAACACATCCCTCACACGCGGACATGATCTTTTTCCTGTGTCAAGCACGTTAAAATTCTTTTCGATAAATAGGAAGTGAGACTTATCCCATAACCTCTGTACTGATACCATGTTAATAGAATGGGTGTTCGACCTTACTCAACCCGAAAAACTTGCTATAGATCATGAGGGAGACAACATCCCACTCCCTCCCTATTTAGGGCTTTTTAACTCCCCACACTCATGGAACTGGACATTTGAAACAAGAACGATATAACATGGGGTCTAACCGTCAAACAATAGGTAAATCAAGACCATGAGTGAGTCTGGCTCTCATATCACGTTGAATTGAGTGACCACCTCATTCAAAGCTTAAGCTATTAGAGGGTCCATTTTTATTTATTCAATATTCAATTATAGTTTCAATCCTCTTGTTGCTCTATTTGGCCAAAAAGTAGACTTGTATGTCGATACAAGTTGCTGTCCATTGTTTGGGCAGCGTGGTGCACTAAGTTGGGGTCCGTGAAAGGGATGGACCACAAGCGTATTGTATGCAGCGTTATCTTGCATTTTGTCAGTCTGTTTCCATAGTATGAACCCGTGACCTCCTGATCACATAGCAACAACTTTACTAGTCACGCTAAAACTCCCTTTTCACTAGCCTCCATCGTTTCATCTTCGTATTGCATTCACAAAATCGTCTTCCTTTCTTCGAAGTAGTTCAATAACCCGAGACAATGTAAATTTCGCCATCTAATGCAGGTTGACAGAGATGAACAGCAGAGAGTACTTAGAACAACATGCTGAAATGTTAGCCAAGAAGCTGCAACTTCCGTCGGAAAATCACGGCGAGAAGGCAATAGAGGTGTAGTTGATATAGGAATTCCATACATTTTCCCAATTCAAGGGGATCAATTCTTGTCTGTAAAATTGTGCAAAAATAACATATCATAAAAGAAGTGAGGTTGATTAAAGCTTTGGCTGGCAATGAGATGCAGAAATGTGATATATATATGGTTTAGTTGATTAATAATGTGATTGTTTGTAATTACTGAGCTGATAATGACAACATCTTCAATAAGAATGGCATTTTATGAGCATTTCTGCTATTGGAAATGTTTGCTGGTATACTCTTTAACAAGAATTCAGGACTCTCATTCTGTGAGTTTGGTCACACAATTCGAAAAATTATTAAATTAGTACACATGAAAAATCGAGATAATCCTGAATTTCTATTTTGTGATCTGTAAACTTCAAAAAGAGACGTCGTCTTAAAAAACAATGAGTATTATTTAATAGGTCATTCACAAAAAATTTTAGCTGTAACAAAGTTGGTCGCACATTTAAAAAATTCGTCGACTAATACATACGAAGAATCCAATATTTTTCTTGAATTCTAGTTTAGTGACATAAAATACAAAAAGGAGATGTTCTTCTTTAGAAAACAATTTGTAACAGCTAATAGGTCATCACCACAAATGGACTTTCAAAATTTGAGCTCAAATAGAGTCTATCAAATATATTTTAGAAAATTCATTAATTAATACACACGAAAATTTGGAATAATTCTGAATTTCTATATTGTGATACGAACTCCAAAAAATGGGATTAGCCATTTTGAAAAGATTGAGGATCATTTAATAGGCTATCATAAATGAAGCCACAAAATTTGAGCTCAAATAAAATTGATCACACATTTTAAAAAAGTCATAATACATATATTAAACTCTAAATTTGGCTTCAAATTTTAACTTTGACCTCAAACTTTTATAGTGCACAAATGGGCACTTTAACTATCCTATCTTTCAATAAACAAACACGCGATTTCTACCTGGCAAAATGCGTGAAATGCACGCATTCTGCGCGAGTGAGGGGTAATTTTCGAGGCCCACAGGTAAAAAATGCTGAAATGACAATTTTACCCTTAATAATGTATTAATTAAAATTAATTTTAATTTTTTTTAGTTTCAAAATGACATATAAGATTTTTTTTTTAAAAAAAAAAGACATGTAAAATGTTTAGTTAGTTGGCAGCCACTGATTGATTCAACAATACACGTGGGTGCGTTTGCATTTCACGCATTTTGGCTCTAAAAATCGTGTGTTTATTTAGTGAAAGATAGGATAGTTAAAGTGTCTATTTGTGCACTATGAAAGTTTGAGGTCAAAATTAAAATTTGAAGCTAAATTTAAGATTCAATATAGGTGTTAAGCCTTAAAAAAAATTTAATGAATTAACACAAAATATTAAAATAGTCAAAAATTCTTGTTTGGTGACAAACCAGCATTCGAATTTTGAAAACTATGAATATCATTTATTAGGCCATTACTAATAAACTTATAAAATATGAGTTTTAAAAAATTCATAAACTATTACACACAAAAAAATAATTTCTATTTTGTAACACGTAGAACGCCAAAGAGCAATGTTCACAAAATAGGTCATGATAATTTTTAGAATTTGGGTCTTATAAGTAAAAATTAATTAATTCCCGCTAATTATAATAATGTGCAACAAAAAAAATTGATCATCAATATCTATGTTGCGTTGTTGTACATTAGCATTTTTTTTTTAATCATATAAGAATTTTGCCGTCTGCTTAACCCAAACAAAGTCCTATATTTCCATTTAAATAAATAATTTAAGAACAAATTTGACATTTTCTCCATTAAACTTTTAAGAAAGAATATAGAACTCGTTTGATTGAGAATAAATTTTTACGATTAATTATCTCAACAAAATTACTCGTATCATATATATAAAATTTTATCCATAACTAATACACAGCAAAATAAATAATATCACACCATACCTCGCCCCAAATAATTTCATTTGGACGAAGCATTTTCTATCAAATATTTTTTCGTATACAAAACTCAAACTCGAAACGAGAGGTGAATATAATACTAGTTGCTTCCAAGTTTTGAAGAATTTGCTTTCATCAGCTTTGGAATTATCAATTTCTTATAACCATTGACATTTAAACATAAACAATTTTTGCTGCCTGCTTAGCCCAACCAATATTCCTATATTTTTATTTCAATAAATTCCTTGGAAGTCAAATGAACTTTGGTTTAGTTATACTTCAAAAAAAACAAAAAAAAAACTGCAAATTGTTTATCCAGAAGAAACTTCTTAAGCTGACCAGATAAGTTTCTTGATTTCTCTGTTGATAAATATAGTTTTTTTTTTGTGTGTGTGTGTGTTTTCCTTCTTAATGGGGTTGTAAAAAGAGGATTTTTAAGCTGACCCATATAAGTTTTATTGATTTCTATGTTGATAAATTTTTATTTTTTTTTGGTTTGTGTTGTTTGTGGGGTTGAAAAGAGAGGATTTTTAAGCTGACCCAAACAAGTTTCTTGATTTCTCAGTTGATGAATATGGGTTTTTGTGCTTTTAGAAAGCTTTTTAAATGGTGGGGTTTTCTTAGACCATTTTCTGTAATGTTGATTGTAGTTGTAATGGTGGGTGTTTTACTAATGGTACAAACAAAAATGAAGAATTTCATTCATAAAAATGGAGTCTTTGTTCAGTTTGATGTTCAAGAGGAAGTGGGAATGAAGAATCTTAAACCAATGAAGGTGAAAAATAGGTCTAACAAAGGTGAACTCTTGTCAACTAGTGTTAGTCCTTATCATGATTGGGATTTATTTGCTGCTGATTATGAAGAAATGATGAAAACCCTAAAGATATTTGTGTATCCTGATGCTATTATGAGTAACAAGTTTTCGACTTTTTCGAGTATTTTTCTTCCACATGCAAACCCCTTTGATCCCAAATTAGGTAATTACTTCAGTGAACATATGTTTAAGATTGCTCTTTTGGGTAGTTCCTTTGTTACTAAGAAACCAGAAGAGGCTCATTTTTACTTCATGCCCTTTTCAATAAACGTTATGAGGAATCACCCTCGCGTGCATTCTGCCTCCGCGATTGAAGATTTTGTTGCTGGATATACTGATAGAGTTAGTTCAGAGTATAGTTTTTGGAATGCATCTGGTGGTGCTGATCATTTTTATGTCTACTGTCATTCTATCGGTCGAGATGCTGCCTCTAAGCACCAAAAATTGCATCATAACTCCATTCAGGTTACTTGCTCATCCAGTTACTTTCAGAGGCTATACATTGCCCACAAAGACATTGGGTTGCCTCAAGTTTGGCCTCGACAACATGAGCAAGTGTTGAACCCTCCAGATGCAAGGTTTGATGGCATTTTTACTAAATTATGTTGCAATTTCTATTCATAAGTGATTTTTAACGACTACTTGTTCTGTGTACATGTGTGTGATGGGTACAAAGTTGTTGATCATGAGTAAAACACCAGTAAACTATTACCTTCCCCTACCCAGCCAACCCCCTTTCTCCGCGACCAGCGGATTCCTCCATAGAGTTCAATGAGTTGAGTGAGCACTCAAGTACCCTTTTTCCCAAAGGGTGTAGCCTAGTGATGTTTTCATCTGTTCACTACAAATGTTGATATCGTTTTTGCAGATACAAGCTTGTCTTCTTTGCTGGTCGCGTCCAAAATTCTCTTGCAAGACGAGATTTATTGGAGCTATGGAAGAACGATAGCTCCTTTGATATATTCTCAGGGAGTTCATCTTTCCCTTACGAGGAAGGATTTCGGAGAAGTAGATACTGCCTCCACGTCAAAGGTTACGAGGTGAATACAGCTAGGGTTAGTGATGCTATTCAGCATGGCTGTGTCCCTGTACTTATTTCAAACTACTATGATCTTCCATTAGCCAACATATTAGATTGGAGCAAGTTCTCAATCATTGTTAATGAAAGAAATGTTCCACACCTAAAGAAGATATTGCTCTCGGTGCCTAAACGAACGTACCTCAACATGTACAATAACCTAGGGATCGTGAGAAGGCACTTCGCGTGGTATAGTAGCCCTAAAAAATACGATTCCTTCCATATGACAGTTCACCAACTTTGGCTCAAAAGGGGACTACATCGAGTCGACTGGTGATATCTACTGTTGTGAAGCCAGTATCTGACTTCCTTGGATGACATCTAGCTAATGTGTGTGTTTTAAGTTATGTGATTTTGCTAAATGTCATCTAAGGTTAACTTAAATGAAGCAACATGATAAATGAGGATTCATATTATCGACCTCCTCAGCTTACTGTGTTAGATTTAGCTGTAAGTATTGTTGTCTCTCATTACAATCTACCATAGTAGAAAGATGGGCATTTTCATGGCAAAGGTGTTTGTAATTTTTTATACATTTATTTAATGTGCATGTGACTTCTACTTTAATTATACTTCTTGTTCAATTGCTTTGTTCATCTTGCTATTTTAACATCCTTATTTTCATATCAATCCTGTAAAATCCTATCTGAATCTCGACAACTTATAAGATTACACTGAATTTGTTATTGCATGCGACTTATTATTGGCAATAAAACTATGGTCTATTTAGACTACTATCAAATTTGTTAACATCAATCTTCTAAGACTACCACAAGGACAATGTTTATAATGTAGTACAAGGGCTAGGAAGCATTGACATACTCAAATTTGTCGTTCTCATTTTCGTCAAGGGTGTGATATCTTCCTCTAGCACATGTATCAAATAACTCACATCTCGACTATCACCTGCACAAACACCAGAAACTCTAATTCACCAAGCCAAATCATCAATGACCATATGTAGAGTCCAAAGTTCTTCAGACGAGAAAACGCTATTATCCCACGATAACAAGATAGCCCTCTGTAGATACACCTTTAACGAAAAACCAAGTAGCAGTGAAATGATAATTGGAGTTCAACAGATATAAGATGGTCTGTAATGACCACGAGTCATGCAATATTAAAGACACAAAGACACTAAGGCTACAAGCCATCTGCTTCTATAACAGTATAGAAATCTAAAATATCAAGTTTTTGGCCAACACTTATATACTTCAAAAGCTATAACGTGATACATAGTTCAAAACATGCACACCCAAATGTGTCCTGTTTGATCAAATCTTTCATTCAAGAAATGCAAATTTCGCCAACATGAGAGAAACCCTCATCACTTCTGAAATTGAACAGAGTAGGAACCGGTGTTTGGGTCTTTAACTGTTTTGAAGTTGTCAACGCTCATACCAAATCGACCCAAAATGGAATTTCCCATTTCTTTGAGCTTGCCTGTAACATAAATACAAATCATTAACAGCCAAAGAACCACAAAATAGAAGTGTTGAGCAATGAGCATGATTGAGAAGTGCCTATACTCCTTTTAAAGTAAAACGGAGAATTGTAATAAACAGAATACCATACGTTATCTCAGATCAAACAGGAATAAATATGTTAATCTACAAATCAAAACAAATCCCCTTTAGAAGAACTTGAGATGATTCAATGACAATCAGTCGAGAAGAGATCAAATAATCCGGACCTAAAATTTAAAGGCAATCTAATGGATTCCAGAACAGTAGTGATAGTACAGTTAGCACGAAAGTGGATTTAGCCACAACACACAATTATAGCTTTAAGCTAACAGCATTTGGTCTACCTCTTTTCCTTCTTTTTTTAGGTTTCTTGGTGAGTCATACCAAGTGAACTATAGCGGCAGAATGAATATTAGGATGAATTATTCTAGCAGATAGTTATAAACAACTAGAAAGGCAATTTCTTCAACTGCCGGAAGATGAGTCAAGTATCAAATCTACAAAACAAAATGAATGAGAAAATAGCTGTGCCCAACTGTTTCTAGAAGAACATTGGTCTAGACAAACTGATGCTTATTTTTTTTTTAAAATGAAGGTAATATGCTAAAAGGATGCCATTGCTACACCTTTTTTTAGAATGCAGATAATGAATGATGTAAAACTTTAGGAAAACTAACTGCAAAAGCATGAATGTCACACTTCTATTTAGCATTGTGATGTTCATTTCCATATTTATTTTATTTTTCCATATTTATTTTATTATATGACTGCGGTGTCCGGGTCAGCTCGCGCACATCAATGTTTATTACCATAAATGATTGGCTAGGAACAGTTGACAAAGACTGTATACCCTTCCTGCTGACTAACTTAAATAAGTGGAGAGAAATGTAAACCATTAAAACAGTTGCATAGGGAGGAATCTCTACTATTTACAGAGTTACATTAGAAAAGAAAATAGAGGATTAGTCAATGCAAAGACAGAAGACTGTTAAGCTCACCAATCATCTCCTCTTTCATCTTTTCTCGCTTCTCATCAGCTAATGGCTTTAAACGTATCACAGTTCTCCTAGCTTGGTCATGTGAGGGTTCCAATTCCAAGATTTTTGTCATGTCTGCAAGAGTTGGAAAACGTAAAGGGAATAAGAGCAGAAAAAAAGAGCCGAAGTAAAACTCTAGTTATTTAATTATTCACAAATAACACGAACCATTTAGTGGTGTGCAATTATTACCAGAGGCTTATGAGTAACATACAAGGAACTTCTTTCTAATTTCTCAGGTCAGAGAGGGGGAATAAGGAGAAGACATAGGAGAGCCTGATGGGAAAACATGAGATTTCCACCAAGTAGCCAGTAAATGCGAGTATGGGTACTATTTATTTAGTGATGCAGCTAAGAAGTACCAATCAAAATGACATTGTACTGCATAATCATAATATAACTTGACAACACGATGTTTACCAGTAATGGCCTCTTCAAAGTGTTCAAGCTTTTCATGTGCCTCTGCTCTTCTAACCAGAGCCTTTATATATGTAGGATTTAGTTCTAATGCTTTTGTGCATTCCTTGATCGTCTCCTCATGTTTCCCCTGTAAATGGGAAGGTACAGTCACTATCATTAGTAGATACTACAAATCACACATACAAATTGGTACCTTACATACTACACAGGAAAGGTATAAAACAAAGATATGGGAGAAGTAAAGAAAAAAGTGGGAATTGTTTCTAATATGTGCAAAGTAGACTACTATTTTTTCAAGTATGAAACTTATTTTTGAAATTGCCGAAAAATAGTGAGACAACAATTGTGACTTGTATGCCTTTCACTTGGAACAATACCAAAAGGATAGTTACCAAATTGTTTCTCTAAGCTACACATCTCCTCAACTAGTCTTTTTCCTTGCCAATAACTCTAATATAGAGCCACACAGCCCGATGCTCTAGAGTTTCTAATCTAAACAATTGAGGTGGTTAGATAACTAGTGTCAAATGATTCATGATTACAATACCTTCTCAATGACTTATTGGAGCCTTTTAACTACTAACTAATAGAGAATTTCACATCATGCCAGTGTTACCCAAGCATACAGAACCCTAATAAGGAAGATGCTAGTAGATTATAATTGAATAAATAATACTAAAAGCCCCTTTTATACTACTCCTAGAGCAGGAAAAAGATATGAACATGTATTGACCTATGTAAAAAAAAATCTGAAAAAGATTGAAAAAATAGTATTGAGTTGAGAACTTGAAGAAGAAAGGTGATGTATATACATATAAAAAGAATTATTAATGGAGAAGGGAAAAGTCAGATAAGAGGGAAATCAGGTGGCAGATTTTGTATTGTTTTTGAATAATTGTGATTATTGGGAATTTCCTTCAACTTACAAAAATATAAGTGGTCAAACATTTTATATTTATTTGTTTTTCTATATGAAATTGGATGTAATTATAAGGTCAAAAGTTGTAGTCCTATTTAACAAGATATAATACATGAAAAGGATGAATGTAGGAATTTTAACTAAAAATGGATGTGTAATAACATCTCACCTAATACTTGTTTTGTGATAATAATATATAGAAACTTGGTAGAGCGTAATACGTAGGTTTAACAAAAGGACAAAAGATGTCTTTTGAATGTTCAAATGATCAGCAAAAGCTACAAACTTCATTTCAGTATTTATTCGTGGCCTAACTAAATTGATAATCAAAAAAACGGTAAGAATCTGAGCAGAACAATGCAAATCAATAAAACGCTAGACAGTCATGAACAACACAGATGCTAAATGAAAAAGCTTTAAACATCTTCGGTGAGAACTATTCTTTAAAGTCTAACCTATCTGCACCTGGAACCCATGGCAAAATTTTGACATTATGAATCTGATACAGAGAGTACAAAATGCATACATCAAGCTTACCAGTTTGGTGAAACAAGCTGCTCGATTAGCATGGCATATTGAACGAATTTCAGTACTTGAAGGAATATCTGCTGCGACTTGCAAAGCTAGCTCATATTTCGACAATGCCTCTTCATAAAGCCCATCCTTAAACAATGCATTGCCTTCAACTTTCGCATCATTTGCTTGAGCCAATGCTTTCTGCTCCTCAAAATGAAGGGATCATATCAATAATTGTTGAGAGCTATTATCTTAGAGTACAGTTTCACCAACTAAGAACAAAGACAAACCCAGTGTAATCCCAGATAGGCAGTAGTGGTAGTTAAAATGGCGACTGACAAAACCTTAAAACATATTAACAATAGAAAGAAGGCCAGGCAGATGGGATTCACACAAATACATCTATGATGAAATCCCTCAATGTCGAAAGGGAAAAATCAAACAGAGAAAGAGAACTAGTAGTTGAATTTGCATGTAGATAACTTCCCCACAGCTGCGAGGATGACATTTTTTTTTAATTAATAATACACCAAGAAGGTGTCAAGAACATACTAGTAACATGTTACAGAACCATAATACATTCCCAGCTGCAAAAAGGATATAGCTATATTCAAAAGACTCCTGGCATTTCATATAACTTTCTAGTGCAAGGAGAAAATACTATTACGCAGAGATGATTCTGCTACTTGATTGTTTTCAGTTATGGTTGAGCCACTCAGTAATCATGTAAACATCTGTTAACACCACCTTTTGTAATATCAATGAAATGAATTCTGTCTCGTCAAAAGAACAGAATCACTAGCGAGCATGTAACAAATTGAGAACAGATTCCCTAATCCTACCTAGTTCCTCTGAGACACTATCTCAAGAATCTAAAATAGGAATCTCGAATTCGCAGGCTTTAAATTCTGATCACCACATTTTTTCCTGATGCCCAATTTCAAGGAACCGCGATCAGAAATTCAAACTACAACCTTCAATCGACAAACAAAAAAAAAAACTACAGAACTCAAACATTAATTTTTTAATAACCATGATGTCCAGGCCAACTTGCACACAGCTCAACTAATACCACGAGATACTTGCCACCATTGCCACCTCCCACCGATAACGTGTACTAGATAACTCTGCCCACAAACAAACAGGGAGAAATCACCTATGTCTTTGATTGTGTTGAGATTTGAATCAGAGACCTAACGATTCTCAATCTACTTCATCAACCACTAAGCCACACCCTTGGGTGCAAACTCGGAGACATAGTTTTTTTGATAAACATAGTATCCGGACCAACTTGGTTGTCACCTCCCACCCGAAAAGGTATTAGGTAAATCTACCCCGCCCATCAACAGTAAGACAAATGAGAAAAGATCACCTAATGTTCTTATATCTATTAAGATTTGAATGAGACCTTATGATTCTCAACCCACTCCATCAACCACTAGCCCATACCCTTGGTGCAAACACAAAAACATCATATTTTCATAAACATGTTATCCGGTCCAGCTTTGGTTTTCACCTAATATTTTTATATCGATTGAGATTTGAGCCAAAGACCTCAGGATTCTCAACATCTTCATCAGCCAATAGTCACTAGGCAAACTAAAAAAACATTAATGTACAACTGATTAAACCAAGCTAAACTTACCTAAGCTCATCACAATCACTCTCCAATGCCTAACAGCAGCCAAAAATTAGCAACATCAATTAATAAATTAAAAAACTATAAAAGAGTAAAACTCTACCTCATTCAACTGTTCCTGATTTACTTCAGGCTGCTGCTCCTGCGTCTTCTCCTTCAAAAAATCTCCATCAGATGAAGACGACGCTGTATTGATCGTGTTCTCAGATTCCCTATTACTTCCATTCTCGGCTCCATTCAGTTCCGAATCGCTCGCAGTCTCGTATCCATCCGACACGTAACCAGACGGTGCTTCTGCCGCCGTCGAAGTTTTACCGGCCGCCGGTGATTCTACTTGTTCAATCGACACCATTTCTATGAGCTTCTGGAAGTTTCTTCTTCGTCTTTCAATCTTCCCTGTGAAAAAAATAATTTGCTTGTGAATCCAGAAAGCTCTTATTTATATACTAATGTAATCAGTAATCTAACGACGCCGTTTCCTGTATCTCATGGAATTCGGGTCGGATCGGAATAGATATCCATTTTATATATATATATATAGAAAAAGGACAATAAACAATAAACAATAAAACAAATCCTAATTCTCAAAGGTTTATGTCAAATAAAATTTTATCTATAAATTCACTAAAACTTCATTAATTCAATCAATTGAAAGTTTATAATTCACAAAGCTTCTCAAAAAAAAAAAAAATCATGGCAAAAATTAGTTTGTTATTATTTATCTTTATATTTTCTCTTAGTTTTTCAACTTTGATAATTTCTTCATCTTCTTTTAATCCAACAAATATTAATATTATTAACCCAAAAAATAATCTTCCAAATACATTATTAAAAAAAGGGTATGTTTCTATGTCAATTATTCTTGAAAATACCCTAAATAATTTTATTTCTTCTTCACCTAATACCACCAATTTCACCATATTTTGTCCTACCGAAAAAGCTTTTTTAAAAATATTTCCAAAATATCAAGATCCTCCAAATAGATTAATTCAATATCATATTGTTCCTTTAAAATTAAATAAAAATGTTCTCGAAACTTTTTTTCACCGAGGGTCCAAGTTGAAAACCCTACTTCTTGATCATTCAATTGTTGTTACTAATTTGACTCGATCACGAAATATTTCTATCAACAACGTTGATATTGCTGAATGGGATGTTTACGATGATGGACGTGTGATCGTGCATGGGGTTGATGAATTTTTTGATCCGGCATTAGAGACGTTATTTTTTTATGAACGCAACATTGACAGTTCTCGATCCGATGTAGATAAGACTTATGGTTTTACTTATAGAGATTTTATCGACTATTGGCTTAAACATCCCTACTCCATAGCTCAATTAAGTTGGCTTCATATGGAAGTGGGCTTTGTAATTGCATGGATTTGTTATATATACAAATATAGATTTGTATGTTTTAAAGGCCGTGAATTGTTTCGACAATTATAAATGTTATTAGATCATGGTTCAATTAATTACTTAGTTTAGTTTAATTAGATTATTATTTTTTGCAATGTTGTCTTTATTTAAAAAAAATTCTTTAGTTGAATTATTGATATGGTATTTTACTCTTTCATCATAAATTTGTTAGTATTACATTATTTGTCTAACTTATTGCTTCTAGTATTTTTCTTGTCAATGTATTATTTCATCGAGCTTTCAAGTGTTTCGTGTTAGAAGAAATTAAAAAAATAATATAATATGTCTATTTATTCAATTTCTTAACAAAATCAATTTTTTTGTTTCTATTATTTAACGCTCTTAAATTTTTTCGAACTAACTAGAGTACACTATTCAATGTGTCATTTTATGAATGAGCGTAAGTAGTAACATAAACAAAAATCTCACTATACAAAGAAGTCACTGAATTTTAACATCTGCTATATATACGTATAGTTTTTCGAAGTGATACCAAACTGGATTCAGATTGAAAAAAATTTCATTAGTTTTTTTTTAAATGTATTTTGACATATATTATGTACTGCTTCTCATACATTTTATTTTATTCACTACTTGCAAAAATAATTGAATATTAATCATCTACATGTCTGCACCTTTTAAACTTATCTTTCCCTCCATAAAGACAATAACTATACCTACCATAATGAATAAGGGCATGTACTATAATCACCCAAAACGCTAATTTTTTCTATATCGTTCCAATTTTATCAGAACACTATAGTCTAGAATACCGATGAATCTACCAAAAATTTGAGTGATTTCTTCCGGAGAATGGGGTCGTTGGAGATATCCAGGGCATCGTAAAAGTTTAGTATATTGATTTAAGATCTCTTTGGGCATTGGCAATATGATTGATGTAGTCATGTCCTGAACAAATTTGATGAAACCTGTGAAGGAAACTTCCATATCAGTATAGGGACATGAGATAGACAAAAAAAATAAATCAAACTAATGTTAACTGCAACCGATTCGATACGTAATGTATAAGAAGGGTGAAAACTTGGTGAAAATTCATTATCTAGAACAGCATGAATTCTTAAATTTTTGCATCAAAGTTTTCATGATTTATTGTTCTGGGAAAAAAATGGATAACTTAAGTATTAGGACTTCAACTGAGAATGAAACTTGCCAAAATAAAGTAAAACTTTGGAAGATGAAATAAACTTTTTTTTTCGTTTATTATTCCTCCCTAGGAGCTCCCCACCATTTTTGCTCCTTTGGTGACTCGAACCCAAAATCTTAAGAGTTGGAGGTGTAGGGTGCTTACCATCTGAGCAACCCTCTTGTCGAACTTTATTAGGCCTTCAACATGAAGAATGCTTCTTGATAATCTCACTTGGCCTGTTCTACTCCCTCCATCCCAAACTACTTGACATATTTCCCGTATTTTTATATTTTTTTTATAGCCATGGTGTCTGGACCAACTTGTACTCACATAGACTATTATACCGGGTACTTACTACCTCCTAGCGATACAGATATTTGATTTACTTCCCTTTTTTAACTTTTGTTTGTAATGATGGTGTGTAGGCCAGGTTGCGCTCACATGAATTACCCTACCCGGTACCCACTACTAACCTACAACCAAGATAGATACTTGATCTACTTCCCTTTTTACAGATGCAGATATATTTTTGTTATTCCAACGCTTATTGCGTGTCCTTTAGCCTATTTTGACTTGCAAAGGTATACAACATCTTTTCATATTTCAAACCACCTTTTTTAACATTTCTATACCAAACTTGATATAAATTAAATTCAAGCATTTGTCATAGATCTTAATAACTGCACAATTCAAACTAAATCACACAGATTGAGACGGAGGGATAGATATTTCACGAAAGTTATAGATGAACTTTTGCACACGTTGTCTAAAGTAGTAAAATAAAAGACATGACTAAACCTTTTTAAGGAAAAGAAAAGATTACCTTTAGATGGTGTGGCATGATTTTTATATCATAGGGCACATGAAGCCAAGCCTCAGGTGGGTAGTACAAAAAGTTCTCGGGCTTACTAGTATAGATATCTGCATATTGATGAATGTGGTAAGCAAAAGCAGATTCCTGACCAGTATCAGTGAGGAACGTAGCTCCAAACGATTTATTGAACATTCCCTTCATTTTGTAGCGAGTCTTTTGTCTCTCGTCATTGAGCTCCCTAAGGAGAGACTTATATGCTTCACTTGTCATACTACTAGTTGCGGTGGCATGAAGCCTACCAAGAAGTTCTTGCATTATGTGAAACTTCGCCTGAACGGGGTAAGGAGGGAAAGAGATTAAAGCTAGTTAGTAACATAATGGATATATCTGGGGGGAAAAGAACAATCTGCATTTAGAGTACAAACTTTTATACAAGTGTGTGAATAAGGTAAGCCTATTTAAGCAAACACATTCGGGTCAGACATATGGCCAAATGAAAGCAAGTCAAAAATACATCAAGAAAAATCTGTGTTTAACTCATTTGAAGCAGTTTATGAAGCAAACTTTTTCCTAATTACACTATCTGCTTAGACAGTGGCAGTTCATTTAAGTAGAGTTTAGGACAAGTCGATGAAAATAGGTGGCGATTTCTCTAATGAGACAAAACCACAACATGATACCCAGTGTAATCCCATGAGTGGGGGTATGGAGAGGGTAGAGTGTACGCAAACGTTACTCCTACCTTGAAAGGTAGAGTCTCTAATAAGACACTAGCCCAAGGAAACTCACATTTAGAGAAATTAAATTGTTAGCCATTCCAATGTGAATGATCCTAAATGCATAATTAGGAAAACCATGAAGTATGATATGGTTTAGGAAGGTGAGGATGCATCGTATAGATCTTCCAAATTTCATTTAAAACCTTCTAAGTTCAACTTAGCTACAACAAGATACCTACATCATACCACGGTCTTCACAAGTCATGAAATGTGGAAATTACAGAATCAAATAATCAAGTCATATAACAATGTTACTAGTGTCAAAAAGAAAAATCAAGTCATATACACATGTGATCAACATCAGAACCCTCTTGCAGCACGTATAATATAATTCTATAAACAAACGTGCAGTTTCAAGTGATTGATGAAAGATCATCAAGTTATACCTGTTCAAATCTGTAAGAATTATCATTCTGAATCATGATCTCACTCTGGAAACAGAAAACACAACAGGAGTTAACTAAACTTTTGATCAACAAAAGATGGAATATAGGATATTTTGACAAAATAATAGAAAAAAAGAGAGGACATAAACCTCCCTCCCATCATAGATTCTGAAACAAGGTGTTGATAAGGATAAGAACAAGTGGTACAGTTTATTGTACCCAAGGATGAGTCCTAGTGGTCAATGAAATGGGTGCAACTACGGAGACGAAAGTTCAATCTAGCAAAAAAAAACATTAGGTGATTTTTTCCCAACTTCAGATAGGAAGGTATGGAGGTCGAAGATTATGGTAGAAGGTTAGTAGGTTGTTGATTGCTGTTGCACTTTGTGTGGAAAAGGCAGGAAGCTAGCCTCCTCTTCTTCTATTAGTGGTATCATTTAGTTATTCTATAGTTCCCTATTACTTTTTTTTTTTTGTAAATTGGTAAATTGTATTCATCAACATTATTGATATGCTGGCCACCTCCAAAAGTGAGAAATTACAAGCTTCCTATCAACTCTACAATCTGATCTACATCTTCTATAAAAAGTAGCTAACACCAAAGAAGTAAGAGTTTCAATACAATTCCATTTTCCTTTACGTATTACTATTTATTGTTGGATTTGTTTTGAATATTGCTATTTTGGTGTTTTATTTTTCTTGCAATCCTGCATCAGATACTTCTCTTTTGAGCCAAGGGGTCTACAAGAAACAACCTCTTTACCTCACAAAGGTGTTGTTGTCTAAACTATAGTGGTTAGAGTTAGTGGA